GGCTTTATTATTGATCTGGTTGGCATTATCAATTCATCTAAGTCACCATCACTTGTTGAACCTCCATGTCATGCTAGGTACCAAGCAGGATACTGAGTTTGCAAAAGGGTAAATAGCAAGAGATGAAATTGGAGCATTCTGAACAGGGAAGATAAAAAAGGGCCTCATAATAGTGTCCAAGCTGAAAGCTAAGTACCGTTCAAAGAGCTGTGTAAGCTTGTGAGTTATGCAGCTTGGCTTGAATGTTAGAGTGAAATATGGGAAACGATGGAATGAGACAAGACTGGTGGCAGAGGAGCAGTTAGGTTACTATAATGATTTGGGTATACAAGGATGGAGGCCTGAACTCTGGGGGTGCCAATGGTGATGCAGTGTGGAGAATACTGCTTAGTCCAGTTCACCTCCTTCTTTGGGCCAGGGCACCCACACACCAGTTGTTACGTGCCTGGAAGGCTAACAGCCCACAGATCCAGTCCTCTCTGGACAAAGGTGCCAGGGATATCAGGGTGCTTGTGTCCACCACTTCAGTGACCACCTGTGATCACTCATTACCTACCACAGGAGTTAAAGAAACAAGGCTGGTCCCCTTTCCCTTGAGGTAAAAGTAATACAAATTGTTCTCCAATGCTCCCCTAAGTCCAGGTGAAGCCATGTCCTTTTTTCTCCCTTATGATAATTGACCTCATTATCACTTATTTTTATACATCGCATTCATAAAAATTAAAATTTAAGAAATTTATATTTAGACATTTTTAAGCACACTCATTAAAAACCCCCATCTCAGAGTCTGCATCCAGGAAACCCAAACATAATAGAATGTTCAAGAAATAAATGTATGCATTATATCCTAAAGAACATGGTATAAGATCACAATTAGAGATAAATAAAAATTATGGATGAAATGCAGGTTTTGACATAAATCACTGGCTGGATTAGGAAACTGAGGAAATGGACCACAGAAATGAGCCAGGGGAAGAGGCAAAGATTCTCTCACCCCACAGCAGCCTCACCCTCAAGGAACAGCCCTGCTCTGCCTGAGCAAACTGGAAGGCTGCTGCCCTGCAGGACATGCTGATGCCCCTTGGGGCCCACCCCACTTCCCTTTTGCTTCTAGACCCATAACTAGACTCAAGTCCCAGCTGATCCCTAAACGTAGGTGCAAAGTACAACCTAGAAGAAGGTGCAATCTCCTCCAAAAGACAACTTGAATTTTCTAATGTGTAGACAGAAACCCAGAGAATCCGTATGCAAATGGATCTTAAGGATGTGGGATAAAAGCAACACACACTTGCACCAGGCTGAATTTATTGAATGGGCCCACTGTGTAGAGATTAGACTTTGTTGCTGCAGCTCAGGGAATAAGAAAGAGCTCTGACAGGTTGTTTAGTTGGCAGACTGACACATAGACCCACAGTAAGTGACTTGAGAGGGCCCAACCTGCCTTGGTTTAATATAGAAGAAGGAATGCCAAGATTTAGGGAGACTGCAACATTGGACTGTATTTGTTATTTCATTTATTCACCCACCATGGGAGGCTCAAGAATCACAAACAATGATGTAAACCAATATGACCTCAACATAAGTAAAACAGTTTATCAATTAATATTTAAAAGGCCTGTGAGAAATCAGTGTGTGACGGAGCCCCAGCATCCTTGAAGAGCTCTGTGATTATTCTTTTCTGAAGGCCAGACTTGACTGAGGAAGCACGCCACCTCGCTGGGAAGCATACATGCCATGGAGAGTTCACAGCTGCACTCAGCTGGCACTTACCACAGGGGCATGTTTATCATGATGGACAGCATAGTCAAAGCAACACTCAGAATTATCTGATGTAAGACCTGTAGTTTTGGCTAACGGATTTTTACTTGATCTTTATAAGTAGAAGAGTTCTAGATGAAGTCAGCAGAATTCAGCTGAATCATAAAAACAGCATCATTGCACCTCAATCAGTTCTCAGACTTGAGCAAATGTACAAACCCAGGTAGTGGAGAATGAAGGGGTACAAGGAGAAGGACCCCTTGAGAAAAAGGAACTGGTATACTATCATAAATTTAGGCTGCTGATCTTCTCTCAGCTCTCCCTAAAGAGACATGTTGCTTCTTACCAGGGTAATTATACATTGGGGAAAACAAGTTATTATACCTATCTAGGACTGCTGGGCACTGACGCCAAACTGACACCAATTCAAGGAAACCAAGTGCCACTGTGACCCCCCCCCCCCAGTTAGAGCAGGGACTATGGATGTCAGGTCATCACTTGAGTTTTAGCTCAGGTACAGCTCATAATGGAGCCACTGGGGCCTGAACACATCCTGTGACTATTTGCCCTGCTGTGTAATTGGCATAAACACATCAGCCACTGGCAGAATCCCAATATTGGTTCCCTGATCTGTAAAGAGGAATATTACAGTAGGGAAAGCCAAATAGAAGCCACTAATACAGGCTCTGACTAGAAAAATTGTAAGCCAAAAGAGATGTTGCACTCCTGGAAGAATTGCAGAGATGAGGGAGTGCCACCATCAAGGACTTGAAATAGGCAGGGTAGTGATTCTTGTCACATCCCCATCCAACCTGCCCACTGGACCTGTGCAGAGACAGATCTTAGAGAATGACAGCAGATGACTGTAAGCTAGGCAGCCTGTTTCTACCCCTTTCATCAGATGTGGTTTCATTGCTTCAGCAAATTATGGTACCTTTGGTGCCTGGTTTCAACTAGTGATCTGGAAATTATTGTTTTCTCTGTATCTGTCAGAGAGGACCACCAGATCCATGTGGAACAGCTGGCAAGGACACCAACAAAATGTCTATGTCCTACATAGGGGTATTTAATTCTCCAATCTTGCGTCACAATTTGGTTTACAGGGATCTTGATCAAGGTCCACAATATTGATGGCTTTGCCTTCTACAAGGTCCACAATATTGATGGCTATAATACTACACTCCTGTTCTGGAACATCCCTGAGGAGCAGTGACAAAAGAAAATTCTCTCAACCCCTAGGACTAGTGGGTAGAAGTTCAAACAGTATGGCAAAAAGTTTTCTTGTGAGGAAAAATGTCCAGACTTGCATTTACATACCAATCTAGTGGTGGCAAATGGTTTGGTTGGTTGGTTGGTTTGTTGGAGATTTTGAAGCAAAACAAGTAATGAGTAAATTTGAGAATAAAGTATATGCATGGCTGAAAACAGAACGCTATCTGTGGCCCATGTGAATGCTCACCAAAGGTTTATATATTAGGACACTACCTCTTATCTAACAAAGGATTAGTAAATATCTTCTCCCAAATTATAGATTGTCTTTTAAAGTTTGATGATGGTTTTTTTGCTGTGCAGAACTTTTTAGTGTGGTGTAGTCCTCTTTATGACAACATCGATTTTCACTCATTTGGGAGTTTTACAAATTTTATATATATATATATATTTATATTCATCCTTATAATATAATATATAAATATATATATATATATATTTCAACTACTGACTACCAACAAAGAACAGAGATTCTGACCTAGAGTTTTATAATAAACAAATTGTATATAGGATAAAGAGTCACATTATAGTGTATGTTTCAGTTCTTCCATGAAATTAAGGCTTTGTCAAAGCATACCATATATCTGAGTCTCAATATGCTATGAACTAGGTTGTAAGAATTAATAGCATTTGTTGTTCCAGTTATCAATGGAGAGCCTCTCCGCTCCAAATACACTCTTCACTGCCTGCTCCGTATTAATGAAAATGGACCCTGTCAGCATTTCTCCCCTGCATTTGACCTGACATGATGTCACAATCTGTCAATAAAGGACACTGAAAGGGGCATCAGATCCTTATGTACACATGCTTCTCTTCCCATCTTGCTCTGATATGTTTCCAGGACTGCAGGTTGGGGGGTATGGGTGAGGGAGACAACCATTGATGCTGATGTTGACACCTCCACGGACAATTTCACCGAAATCTCTGGAGGCAGAATCCAGTCAATCTCCTAAGCACCCCAGAGATGAAATTTCCAGCTTACGTGATCTGTACCATAGTGGGATATCTTCTCCCAGTCTGAGGTCATATTGGATTACAATACTATCAATGTTTTAGGAGTACAGGTACACACCTGTTCACATGTACGTTACTACACCGTGGCCCATCACAAAGTGCCAATACCCCTCCACCACAATCCACTGAATTCCTTCAGACATTTGCTCCTACCTCCCATGCTCTAACGCCTTGATAACTTCAGTTCTACTGTCACAATCCAAGGGTTTGTTACGTTTTTGTCTGTTCATTTAAGCTTTGTCTCTTTATATGCCACATGTAAGGAGATCATCAGGCACTTTTCTTTCTTTTTCTGACTTATTTCACTTAGCATAATCCATTCAAGTTCAATGATCCATATCATCACATGGTAAGATTACATCTTTTTTACAGATGTTCCAGGGCATTCTTTAGAGAACTCGTTGCCATTATAATTAGTACCCCAATATATTTCCTAACAGTATCTAAATTTTCCCTGTATAAATTACCATGTACTCTGCATTCTGATTAGAACCTGGCTGTTGAAATATGTTCATTATTTAACACAAATGCCAGTAAATATTTTTTACTATAAAACCAAGATTTTATGAACAAGAAAATCACAGAAGAATGTATATCAAGCCCAGAGTTTAAAGTAGAGAAATATCATTAAACATGCTATTTTCCATTAGTAGTAACCAAGACATAAAAAGGCTATTTAAATATCAATCCAATCCATACCTCTTGGCTTCTAAAGATGTTTCAGATTTGTAGGTAATCAATAAATATTTAGTAAGTAATAAGCAACAAGTTCTGATGACAAGAACATGGAATGGGAGAAAGTAAGTCTGGATTCCAGTCTGAGCTTTAGCTCTGTGCTCAAAGGACTATCTGAAAGACTATCCAACCCTTTGTAACAGTTGAAGCCTTCATCTATATGTGAAGAGGCTCAGAGGACATTACTATAATTATTCCTATCTCTTCATACTCAATGATTCTGTTTAATCGTTAGCTGAGGTTACTTTTTTCCTCCAGAGCTTCCTCATAGCATTTTTTACATCAGCATTTCTGAGGGTGTAGATTAAAGGATTTAACATAGGAGCCACCATAGTATAAAAGACAGCCACAGCTTTATCAATGGGCAACGTGGTCACTGGGCGCAGGTACACAAATATGCAGGGCACAAAGAATAAGACAACCACTGTAATGTGAGACACACAGGTAGAGAGGGCTTTGCGTCTCCCCTCCAGCGCATGGTTCTTTAGGGAACGCAAGATGACCACATAGGAGACCAACAAGAGCAGGAAATTTAACAGGCAAATGAAACCACTGTTGGCAGCAACAAAGAGACCAAGAGTATGTGTGTCCATGCAGACAAGTTCCAACAAAGGGTACAAGTCACACATAAAGTGATCTATGACATTGGGGCCACAGAAGGGCAGCCAGACCGTAAAGAGGATTTGAATGGTTGCATGGAGAAACCCTCCTGTCCAGGCCACTCCCAGCAGGAGAATGCACAGCTTGTGACTCATGATGGTGGTGTAGTGCAGGGGCTTGCAGATGGCCACGTAGCGGTCATAGGCCATTACTGTCAGCAGGATGATCTCAGTGGCACCAAAAATGTGTTCTGCGTAGACTTGAGCCATACACCCATTAAAGGAGATGATTTTATTCTTGTGAAGAGAGTCCACAATCAGCTTAGGAGCTGAAGAAGAGGAATAAATGGTGTCTATCAAGGAGAGGTGGGTCAGGAAGAAGTACATGGGGGAGTTCAGAGCCGGGCTGGTGGTGATGGTGAGCACAATGAGCAGGTTGCCTGAAAGCGTTACCAAGTACAGAATCAAAAATATCATAAACACTGCTTTCTGCATTTTGGGGTTCTGTGTAAGACCTAGTAAAATGAATTCAGTCACATTCCTTTTATTCTCCATCTATAAGAGTTGTGTGACAAAAATTCCAGGAGAAATGATCTACCTTTAAAAAAAAGAGAGAGAGAAGAAAGGAAAAATGAACCATAAACTTAGGAAAAAGTCCCAAACTCCACCTCACAAATCTAGGAATACATACCTCAAAACTCTTTCAGCGCATACTTTCAGCCTTTATCATCCTTGTCTCAAAAGTATTCTCATAACACATAGATGTACATTACCTTATACCTTTAGTACACATTAAATTATATTTTAAAGAAAGAGAAACTGGTTAGGAGAACCAATGACTTGGACAAAGTCTTAATGATTAAAAAAATAATGAGGATTTATTCAAACCCAGGATGTCTATCTCTAGCTCCTTAGCATTTAGTTCCTTTGCAGTATAGATCCAGCTTACTTAGGGGAATCAGCAATGCCAGAGTTTGGACAAGTGGGCTGGTACCCAAAGCCACCACCTGTGACCCCACGAAATCCACTGTAGTTCTTTTGCTAAGGTATGAAAAGTAGAGTCAGATGTTAATGAGTTTCAGAGTGCATTGGACTCTCCGGTGAACAGGGCTAGGATGGGATGTAGAAAGCCAGTCATATTATAGGAACGCATCCATTGTAGCGGAAAGAAAGTCTTGCCTGGTTAGAACAAGATCTAAGAAAGGTTAAATAGAGTCAGAGTGAAAAGTGTCCCTAAGTCAGCATTTTGACACAGATTCCCAAGCATTACTGAGGGTTCATTCTTTCCTTGAAAATGCCATATTTCAATGAATTTTCCTTTTGGATTCAGTTTTAGAGCTGAGATTTTTATCAACAAAACATTAAAATTACTTTCTCCTCCCTCTCATGCTAACATGTCTTGATACTATAAAGGTTGCACACTCTGCCTCAGTTCCACCTCAAATTTGCCTTCTTTATTCTCAATTGCCTCTCATATATTATCCTATTAGTACAAGGTGGCATTTTTCCCCCTTTTTTCCTGAAAATCATCAAAGTTAGAGCACTGTTTCAAGGAAATAAATGACTACATCAACCAATCTTTATCCAAATCATCACATCTCTTGCCATGCCCCTGGAAGAAATCCTCAGTGACCTACCCAGCTACTATCTGCTACTACATTCACAGTCCAAAGCTTACAAATTGACTCAAAATTCATAAAACAGAAACCTACTCCTAACAAATTATAGATATATTCATGTGGTGAGAATAAATGTGTCTGCAAAACTCTGAAACATCTAAAAGTGATCTCCCATCCAATATTGGAAAGTAGTGTTTCAATAAATTTAGTAATCAATTCTTTCTGAGAAAATGGAAATGTAATAAGTTGGATTAAAACTCAGTGATTCCAGTTAACTTACCTTAGTTGCCTCTGTAGTTAAGGAGAAGATCCAATGTACTCAGGAGTAAGAATAACACCATCTATAGCAGTTCAAACATCATATTATCTCATGTGTATTTCACAAGTCCCCACAGATTGAACAATATTACAGGAAGCAGAAAATATCAAGATGATATAAATTTATTCAAATGGATTCAGCAAGCATTTTCCAAGTCCAATGCCTTGAAAATTCAAATCAAAGGAAAACAAAGTGCTACGATAAATCTGACCCTCAAAGATAGTCTTGTTACCAAGGGAGTCTTCTTGTCTTCAGCATCAAGCTCTAAAGCTACAGAACAAAAGACACAAGTATCTCCACCACTTAATAACCCCTCCTATTTTGCTCTTAAAATTAGAAAGAATTTTCTTGAATCTTAGTGTTCACAGAAGACACTGAGAATGCTAAAGGACCTATCTTTCTACTTAAGGCTCTGCCCTCAGAGGAATTAATTATCTCTGTTTTTTTTTTAAAGATTTTGCCTTAGAAACATAGTTGAGAAAATTCATCTATGAATAACACATCTTTACCTGAGTGGTTCTCTCCCTGAACTTTAAATTTATATATTAATAGTCTACATTCATGATCTAGAAAAGAATATGATAAAGCACTTCTCCCATAAGCTCTCAAGCATCATGAACTGGGGATATGAAGGACTCTAATGCCATGTAAACAACACGGGGTTTCATTCAGGTTGCATATCCCTGAGGAAATATTCCCACTGACTGAGGTCACCAGAGGTTGAGACACTAACTCAATTTCTCAATTGTACTATGAAGACATCAGCCCAGTCCATTCCTGCTCATAGACTGGAAGACTCAACATTGTTAAAATGTCTATTTAACTAAAACTATATATAGATAGATAGATATAGATATAGATACAGATATATAGATATAGATATATCCTATATATCTCCAGTGCAATCCCTTTAAAAATCACAATGATGTTATTCACAGTAATAGAGCAAAAACCACAAGATTGAGAGCTACAAAAAACACCAAATGACAAATCAATACTGAAAAAAGGAATATTGAAATACCAGGCTTCCTAACTTCAAACTACACTACAAAGTATTAGTGATCAAAGCAGCATGGTGTTGGAGTAAAAGCAGAATCAAAGAACAATGGAAAAGAGCTGGAGTTCAAACATCAACCCACATACCAGACAATTAATTTACAAGCTTAATGCTAATCAAGGAGCTAAGATATAAAATGGAATAAGGACAGGGCCTCCCCGGTGGAGCAGTGGTTGAGCACTGGGTTGCGAAGCTGCCCGCAGCCTCTGCAGCGCCGGTTCAATCCCTGGCCACCGGCGAGGGTCCCACATGGTGTGCAGACCTCTCCTGTCACGCCCACTGCTCCCCTCAGCAGTGTATATCATTAGTCTGCCTGTTCTGTTCCCCCGCTCTGGCTCTGGTGAATTCTCTCACCCTCCCGTGCTTCTGACTGTACCCAGTGCTTGTATAAATAAATAAATCTTTAAAAAAAATGAAATAAGGACAGTCTCTTTGATAAATGGTGTTATGAAAACTGGAGAGCCACAAGCAAAAGAAAGAAAACATACAAAATTAACTCAAAATTAATTGAAGATTGAATATAATGCCTGAAACCATAAGATCCAATTCCCCCAAGATCAACCACTAAAATCCTTACAGAATATCTGGCAAGGCGCACAGATGTTCTGTTGCCATTGGACATTGGTAGGTTTGTGCAATTTGGGTAAACAGTTTCACCTCAGAATATTGCATGCCCCTGTGAGATTGTCAAGTGGGTATATTATATCCCGAATACTGCTACATGTGTTGTGTCATAGTGCTTCCCACAAGTATCCTTGTCTGTCTGCTTTCTGACATAACACCCTTTTAAGTAGCCAATAAAGCCAAAAATTATACTTCTCCAGTAAAACTTTCTTCAATATAGGTATTTTCTGCTTGGACTTCTAGATCTGTGTCAACTTTAGGCTCTTTGAGCATATTTAACCAATTTTAGTTTATCCACAAAACATGTTGTTGCCACAGAATACTTATCCACTGAGGAATTTGAGTACACATACTAAACTTTAAAAAAGGCTCCTGAGGATAATGTCAAATGTATATTATCATCCCCAATTATAATTAGTTTGTTTTTTGTTTGTTTGTTTGCTTGTTTGTATGGAAATGTCAAACTTTCTAGAGGGACCTCCAGTAGCCACTAAGGCTAAAAATATGAGTCCACCAAGTTACCTCATACTGACATTGCTTTCTGTTTGCCACAATTCTTTACTTTGACTGTGTCCAGTTTGCAAAGATATAACCCTCAGCATTAGGGAACATAACACTATGACTAGTCAGGGATACACTGTAGATACTTTATGTGCATAATATCTGAACCCACCAGCAATCAATTAGCAGTGACTGTGGCTCAGTTGCTGAACAAAGTCCTTTGTGTGCACACAGAAGACAATGCTTCCCACATGTTTTCTCTCAAAAGGGCTCTTCTGGAATATGAGACCCAAAAGACAAAGTAACTTTGGAAATGCTGCACGTGTTCACCTACAAGATGTTTATAGTGTCACTGAAATGCATCACATAGCTGACTCCAGATAGAACGCTTCTTAACTCCCCAAAAACCCATCCTGTGAGCAGAAAAAAGGAACCTCCACACAGTTAGTAGGAATATGAACTGGTCCAGCCACTGTGGAAAAGGGTATGATGCTTTCAAAATACTCAAAACAGATCTACCCTATGATCCAACAATTCCTACTCCAAGGTATTAAATTTAAAATTTTTATATTTAAAAAATTAAATTAATTTTTATCCAGACACATTGCATAACCTTGGTTTCTTATCCCCTAGTCACCTAGGACCCATTTTGCATATTGTATTGCCATCGACTGGTTACTGTCCCCAAATCAGTAAAATCCACATATCTTTCTCATATCATGAGAATTACTTCTTCATTCTACCAATTGAGTTGGTTTATATTTTCCTCTTCAATTAATTGCTGCTGCTTTGCAGATTGAGAGATGGCTCACCACCAATTCAGCCACCATCTGTCCACCACACTGTGTGTTTGGCTTCCTCCAACAGCTGGTCACAGAGCAAGACTCATCCAGCTACACAGTCAGGTGACTCCTAGGATCTAGAGCTGGGTCAAAGCAAAGCAGCCACTCACTCATGTGGGCAATGATTTTCCCCCTCGCACATGTTCTTGAATTTACATCTCTTTTTTAAAAAGATTTATTTTATTTATTTATACATACAAGAACAGGAACGCAGGCCAGAGGTGCAGGGGATGAGAGGATTCACCAGAGACAGAGTGGGGAGCAGAACAGGGGGATTGACTGAAATACACTGCTCAGGGGAGCAGTGGGTAAGACAGGAGAGGTCTGCTGAGCCATGTGGGTCACCTCCCTGGCCAAGAATTGAACTTGTACTGCAGTGGCTGCAGATAGCTTCATAGTGCTGAGACTTAACCCCTTGTGCCACCAGGGAGGCACCTAATTTACATTTCTAATTGTTAGGAGAACTTTTCATTTCTCTACTTACTAGAATGTATCTAGACTAACCCAGGAAAGGCAAGTATTTCAGATCCCAAAATAAAGTTATGTCCTTCAATAACAAAACCTTTCTGAATAAAACCCAGTGACAACATAGC